CTTTGGTGACGGAATCAGCCAAAGAACATATATGCATAATCCATTGTCACAGACAACAGTGTGGTGATGCCCAGAGGGAAGGGGGAGAAGAGAGCTGGGTGGACGAGGGCAAAGGTGGAGGAGGGGGCTGAAATGGGGACATCTGTGATGTCAACAACAAAAATAAAGTTAAAAAAATAAAAATAAATAGTTTAAGTCATTATTCTCTGTTAAGCACTGCTACTGCTAAATTCTGCAGTTAAGAAGTTGTTGAGATTTTAAAAGTTTGTATATATAATGGATGTTTTTCATTTTTTCTAGTTTAGTGATTAATTGAACTGCTCACTACTAATCTGTCAAGCAGAGAGTTTCCATTCTGCTCCTCTTCCTGCTGGTATACAGCCCACAGCTGGTTTTATTTCATGCTTCCACATAATGTTGGTATAATTATTTCACACTAATGTTAAATTTTATGGAAGCATCAAAGGATCATCTTTGCTAAAGCATGAAGAATATAAACATATTAACAAAAACAACAACAAAAAGCATAATCTTTTTCAACTACACCACACAGTAGTGTACTGACAATATCATTATTAAAATCTGCTTTATTCAGAATTGTTGATGTTATTAAAGCATCACAGTGTCTAGACCAGTGATGGCGAACCTATGATACGCGTGTCAGAGGTGACACATGAACTCATTTTTTTGGTTGATTTTCCTTTGTTAAATGGCATTTAAATATATAAAATAAATATAAAAAATATAAGTCTTTGTTTTACTATGGTTGCAAAGATAAAAAAATTTCTATATGTGACACAGCACCAGAGTTAAGTTAGGGTTTTTCAAAATGCTGACACCCCGAGCTCAAAAGGTTCACCATCACTGGTCTAAACTTAAAATTTCAGATATCTATCTTTAGAAGACAGTTTGGTGAAAACGTGCCATTGATTTATTCATTCATTATTTTCTTGATACCTGTTATGAACCATCTGAGAACTTTGTTAAATGAAAAAAGGTAGAAGCATGAGAAAAGAGGGAGGGACCCCTTCTCTTAAATACTTTATGTATATGTTGGTGTCCGATCTATTGGATTTTGAGAGTCTTTCCTTTCCTGGAATTCTATTAATTTAAGCCTAAAGCTGATACCCTACAAAGATTCAGGATTGATCCAATTTTCCTAAAAGATTTTCTCTCAAAAGTGGCTGTTTCTGGATGGAGTTTTATTCCTACCAGATAGTGTAGCTTTCCTCTTCTTTCACTCTCACACAGTTCAGGGTTCACCACAGTAAACTATCACAGGAAAGCAAACAGGAATATTTTATTGGATATTTTGACTTTATTCTTAATAATTTTGATTATCCATGTAAATTATTTTTTGAGGGGAGGAAAACACTGTTTGCCTTGCTCCTAGAGAAGTAAAATAGAAAAAAAATTAGGTACACTACAATATATTTATCAATTTTTTTATAATATCAATTCCTCTTTTATAAATACTCTTCATATAAATAATATATAAAAGGTAAATATTTTTATAATCAGCTTCTTAAGATGCTTTGAAACTCGGGAAATTTCTGTATATTTTATAGAGATGGAAATGTTTGGTGACACTGGGGGCTTGGGAAAAGGAATGGTGAATTAGATCTTCACATGAGTGTTTAGAAAAATCAAATAGTTTATTTTTAAAAAGAGAGCATTAAAATGATATTCATTCTAATAGGTTATATAATAGCTTTATCTATCTATCTATCTATCTATCATCATCTATCTATCTATCATCTATCTATCTATCTAAAAGCCTAAGCGACTGAATGACTGAACGACCAGTCAACCAGTTGCTATTATGTGCACTGACCACCAGGGGGAAGATGTTCAATGCAGGAGCTGCTCCTGGTGATCAGTGTGCTCCCACAGCCAACCTCCTGCGGCCAGCCAACCTGCCGTGGTCCCTTCCCCTGGCCAGCCAACCTTCCACAGTTCCTTCATCTGGCCAGATGGCCCTCTCGATCAGCCCTGATAGGGCAGGGGTGAGCCAACCAACCTCTCGTGGTCCCTCCCCCCCACCAGCCATGCCAAGGGACCCCACCTGTGCATGAATTTGTGCACCAGGCCTCTAGTATTTTAATAAAGGAGTTTACTTACGGATTTTTTCATGTAAAAAGATCTCTTTTTAAATTTTTTTTATTGTTTTATTGCTAAAGTATTACAAAGAGTATTGCATATGTCTCCTTTTTTCCCCGCCCTTAACAATCCCCTGGCCTCCCCTATCCCCCAGTGTCTTATGTCCATTTAAAAAGATCTCTTAATAGATTGAGTATTCACTTGGCTGTCAGTGTTCATATAGCATTACATCTACCACTCCTGAAATATATCTTTTGAAATGCAGAAATAAAGTTCTCTAAGTATAAAATAGCTGCCTAATCAAGTTTTATATCAATACCAAACTATTTTTGAAATCATGTGTCTAAACTAAAATTGCAAGTGAATTTTTTGAGACAGACTGTCTGTTAGTTTCATTCAGAATGGCAGATTCTTTCCTAAAAGAAAATTGCTTTCTTTTTTCTTTCTCAATAATAATTGGCAAAATATATTCAAATTGGTATTTCCTTAGATATACTCTAGTTTCTCTGACACTTAAGAACTTCAGTTTTTGGAACTTATGAAAGGTAGTCATCCCTTTTTGTGAGTTTGAAATAGTCTTCTTAAAGACTTTGATTCATGAAAGGTAAATTTATTATTCCTTTATAGAATCATTCAGCTATTACATGCTGAAATAATATATCTTTATAGTTTTAAATCCCATCATTCATGACATTGATCCAAATAATTTTTGTGAGGAAATATGAACTCTTTGTTTAAGTAATTAGTTTAGAAAGTGTCTCACTTCATGACATTTATAAATTAATACTGTAAAAACAGACAGAGACTTTTGTAAGAAGAACTTGGAATATTTTTTTATAAAGTTATTTATAAAGTGAGGTAACGGTAACTGAATCCTTGTTGTTTTCAGCAGAAAATAAGATAATATATTATCTAGTGTTTTACCCAACATAGCTGGCACTTATCAATGTAAGTTTTTATTCTAATGTGCTGATTTGTAGTTCAACATGGTGAGAGTCATGTTGGGATGATACTGTTTGATAAAATTTAGTATTGTTAAAGAAAAGACACACACCAAAATAGAGTTAATATTATGGAAAAGTGGTACAATTTTTTCACTGCCCTTTAAATAAAAATTTCTGCACAGTATGGAAATCTAATTTTAGAAATGTAAAGACACTGAATAGCAATATTAATTAACTTTAAAAGATTTCTTGCCCTAGCTGGTTTGGCTCAGTGGAATGAGTGTCAGCCTGAGGACTGAAGGGTCCCAGGTTCGATTGCGGTTAAGGGCACATGCCTAGATTGCAGGCTGGGTCCCCAGTGTGGGGCGAGCAGGAGGCAGCTGATCAATGATATACTCTCATCATTGATGTTTCTATCTCTCTCTTCTTCCTTCTTCTCTGAAATCAATAAAAATATATATATATATTTTTTAAAAAAGATTTCTTGTTAAGGTTAAGGCTAAAAATGATGTTGAAGGATACTGTATAATTCTTTATGAGTAGGTGACAGAAAATTAAATAGTGACTTGCTTTTTGCCAGAAAGAGTTTTTGGTGGCACAGACTAAAGGGAAAAGATGGCATTTTAAGCTGAGAAAACCATTTATGTAATAGTACGTTAAGAGTTAATCAACCAAAAATCCAGGACATTATACTGGATACAGCTGATGGCGGGTGTTATTTAATTTTCAGAAAATCTGTATCACATAAAGATCTTAATTAAAGGATGGATAAGCTAATATATGCTACAAAGCAGAAGAAACTGATGAATGCTCACTGCATTCTAAAGTTTGTGCCAAATCTTATATTTCTGTTGTGATTAGAATCTCCTGAAATGAATAAGTTCATTGCAAAGGGTTCATTGATTTAAGAGGTTCCAGTGGGCATTAGGAAGTACAAACTGCTTTAGTAAAGACGGCCTTAAAACTAAAATTTATTCTGACCACTTTTATTCTGACTAATTCCAATTGGAACATGTGTATGTTATAAAAATATTTCATTTTTATTGCTCCTACATCCATGATTGAGTTAAATCCTAAAATTTAATCTGGAGTTGGGAGGCAGAGGAAAGTATAAAACACATTTCTAAATAACATTGATTTGGATAACAAGCACTGTATTTCTTCATTCACTCATCCTGGTTCACTCTGTATTAATCAAAAGAGTTTTCCATCTTTATGTTAATACCACAATTACATACTAACTTATTTATTCAACATTTAGTGAGCACTTTGTTTATTTTTAAACAAGAAAAATCTATAGGTTAACATGGATAGTTTGAAAAAAAATCCTTAAAAATAATACCTCCTCTTGCTCATTCTACTTGCCTTATTAAAGAGCCCCATTTTCAATGGCTAAGAATAATACATGTTACTCTTTCATTGCAACTGTCTTCCTAGGTACTCAAAATACCTTGCAATACATTAATGAATCACGAATTATAATAGCAACATATTTTGTGATTTTTTGATGTGTAGATAACCCATATTTTTCTAAAGCATTCAACGTAACAAATTATAAACTTGCTATTAATAAAGTATACAGGGTGTCCCAAAAATGTATACATACTTTAACAGCTTATAGTTCACTTTTGAAAATTAAATATATTTTAATAAACACTACCTTTATAATTACTCAGTGTGTGTATATACACTTCTGTGGGGCACCCTATATTTAAGTCAATTGCTCCCGTTTGGAAATATTTAAGCATTAATGGATATAATGTAAGCACAGGCAGCAAATACAAATGAGTTGATCATTTTAATGAACATATGTTGTTTTCTTTTGGCTGAGGGCTAAGCATTAAGTAAATGTATTACAGTAACCCTTAGCATTTTCAGATGACAACCTATTAATAGATTTTGTGTTTCTGTTACTGTATTAAAGCATTTCTAATTCTTCCATTTCTTATCTTATAGGAAATAAATGACATGGATGTACAAGAACTTGTAAGAAGGTCAATTGGAAGGCTAACTATCATTCGGCAGACATTCCCAGTCCCCCAGAATATAAGTCAGCGATGTTTCCGTGGCAACCATCGAATATCTTCAACATTGTGTGATCCAAAAGACCCATTTGCTCAGAATATGGAGGTATATTCTAAGTATTGGAGTATTTCTTCCTATGGCGCTTGCTGTGCAGTTGTAGAGAGTTGTATTGGATTTAGAATTTTACATGTTTGCAATTTCTGAACTATTCCCCTTCTGCAGCAACTTATTAAGACAAAGCATCTTAGGAAGCACAGCGAATCTGTTTTGTTGTTTTTTTAAAACTTTTTAACTTCATTTTAGCAAAATATCTACTTGTTTCATAATAATATAATAAGTAAAGGTTATTTTCTTCTCAGCAAGTAAGATCCATAGCATTTCTCATGGTAGAATTTGAGATTGATACTCCTTAATGCCAAACTCCAAATAATTAATCTAATAAATTTGATTGGAGGTTTTTGACATAACAAGGACATAGACTTTCTTTTTAAAGATTAGTATCCAGTTTGAAGTAGTTCACAAAAACTTTATTTAGAAATGCAAGCAATGCTATAGTGTTATGTAGTCATATTTAACTCAGATGGGATATACCTGTAAGCTTCGCTATTCAGAATACAACAAAGAATTTGAAAATAAAATTTCTGAGCAGCAAAATAGAGAACACCAAGTCCCTGAAGCTACCTCATAAAAATGCCCTTTAAGTACTCACCCAGAGCTTATTTCTTCCTCTTAAGGAAAATCCCATCAGATCTTTTTGTTTTATTTCTCTTTGCACAGGGATTTCAATATGTCAATTTGAAAGGGGATTACAAAAGGCAGGTGTGAGGATAATAGTATGGAGCTATAAGGTTCACTCTCTAGCAAAGCAAGAGGCAGGAAAAAAGAAATCAATCAGAAATCTAATTCAAATATTTTATCAGTGATGGACTTCTCTTGTAAAAACAACTCTGTATCATGAAACAGTTCCTAAGGGTATCACTGTAGTGTACTGCCAGCATATTAGTTAGTATTTAAACAGTAGCCCTGAGATATCAACAAAGATTAAAGTCATGGTCAATTTCAGAAGTCAGAAAAATATGCATTTCAGAAAACTATTCCTTCAAAATGTTTACTATCAAAATATTTTAGTGCTTAGCAATGATCAGTTTGAACATTTTGGAAATATAACCCTAGTAGAACTAGTTCATCCCCAATAATACTAGATAAATAAGGGAATTTTGCAAAACTACCTCTTCTTTTGAATGATAAATCCAGTCTCACTATCTTTAGTTATGTTTGGATTTTTTTATGAGTTGTTACATATCCAAACAATTTTTTCATACTTACTACCATTGCAATGAGCTACATGAAATACTAGGCAGCCCATTAGGTATCATTGCCCATAGAGCTTTGTTTCCTACTCAATTTTAAGCTCTTGTAGAATAAGTTCCCTCTAGCACATGACATCATAAAACCCCATCAATTACCAGTCTGTCTTTACTTCTCCCATCATACCTACCCCAGTGCTTTGCACCTTTGTGAACACCTTTGTGAATATTTGTGGATTTGAATGTAATTAAGGAGAAGGCAGTGGTCAAAATAAGTCACTCTGAAGTGTAAACAAGACCTGCTTAAATTTTAATGCCTATCTTATTGAATGCTTATAATGACCCAACTTTCCATATTAATTGGTTGTGGGTATAATTGATGTGGAAATGATAGAATTTCAATTGTAGAAAAACATGAAAGAATTTTCATTCAGAAAATCTTGAAATATCTAAGACTGTTTCTGTAAAAAGAAGTATCAGAAAGTATACAAATTGTTAAAGCAGGAAGTAACTACACAGATTTTAAAGCACATTTATCTAACAGAGTAACCCTTCTGATTCAATTAATTCATTTCTTGAAATCAAGGAAACAAATATTTTATTTAGCTTTATATTCCCTGACTTATCTGATGAATTAAGAATGTAGATTAAGCACCACCCCTCTATCCCTTGAACTCAGTTGCAAGTTCAATCCCTGGCCCTGGTTGGGGTGTGTGCAGGAGGCAAACAATCAATGTGTCTCTATCAGCTCTCTGTCTCTCCCCTTCCCTTCCACTATCTCTAAAAATCAATGGAAAAATATCTTGTAGTGAGGATTAACAAAACAAAAATAAATAGATAAAGGAATCTTAAAAAAGTAAAAGGAGCCTTGACAAATGATTGCTCATAATAGTAAATAAGCAAGTAGATATAATCACACATTGTAATTTAGAAATACTAGTAAAATACTTGGGAAGAGAATTCAAGTATAAGAAAAATTTGGTGAATGTCCCAATTTAAAAAAGAAAGCAAAAATATCCTGATAATCAGAGTTTAATATACTAAAATTAATATCTACACGAACTGTAGAATATAGTATTACACATATGGTTTAGGGAACTATAAATAAGACAATAGGACTTTCTAAACAGCAAATGCTGCCAAAGTAAGTCTTATATAAATTTTTAGGTTGTTATCGTGTCATAAATATACTTATTGCATATTGATTTTCATGTAGGATTTGACAAATTTTCTTATGAAATCCTTTTGGAAAGACATTAAAAAGTCTAGATAGATTGATGTCAGTCAAACATTTTGACCAGCCCTAACTGGTTTGGCTCAGTGGGTAGAGCGTTGGCCTGCAGACTGAAAAGTCCCAGGTTCGATTCTGGTCAGGGGCATGTATCTTGGTTGCGGGCACATCCCCAGTAGGAGGTGTGCAGGAGGCAGCTGATCAATGTTTCTCTCTCATCGATGTTTCTAACTCTCTATCTCTCTCCCTGCCTCTCTGTAAAAAATCAATAAAATATATTTAAAAAAAAAACACATTTTGACCAAAGGTCTCCTAAGAACAGAAGATAGTGAACACTCTGGTCTCAGATGGTTTTTTTAAAGTTCAAAATATGTTAAAGTCTCATTATTCTCTTTGAAAGTTATAACACATGAGTTTATTTCAAATAATTTACCAGATAAATTTCTTAGTTGTTTTATTTTCCCCCAAATCTTCAAGCAAAATTGGTATGCCTCAGACATGGCTCAGATATGTTCTGTAGTTTTGAATATTTCCTTGTATCAACAATTTACCACCAGATCTTTCGTTACCCTCTGTTTGTGAAGTGTGCATCTAGAGGAATACTCAAACCACACTGATAATCCTTGTAGGATTACAAGGAACTCTCTACGGTCACCCAGAAGATTCTATCTTGGGTCTAATATTTTAAAATGTTAATCAATATATGAAGAAAAATGAAGAAAATATGCCTATCAGAATTTTTAAATAACAAGCTAGGGGAGAAAGTTTATATTGTGTTATATAATCAAGATCTAAGGTGTTAATATTTACTGAATAATAAGCCTGAAAGTTGAAATTTCACAGAGATAAAGTATAGGTTTAAAATCAATTACAGGATGTCTAGATGAATGGGACATAGTTTGACAGCTGTTTAAGGCTGTTAAGATGAAGTTAGATTTGGAATGAGCATAGCACAGAGCATTTGTGCTCTAAATCTTTCTAATGGAATCTTGGTCTCTATGTCAGGAGCATTTTGCCAAGATCAAGAGAGATAGATCTTATCTTTCCCCCAGTCAGATCATATCTGCAATAATGTGTCCATTCTGAGTATCAGACTTTGAGCAGAAACATTGAGACATAAAAGGAAGACAGAGAAGAGAGCTAAGATGATGAATAGCCTAGAAATTATACTAGATGATAAACAACTTAAGGAAAGAAGATGTTTCAGAGCAAGTAATAGATGGTGTAAAATATTGGAAGATTGTTATGTAGCGGAGGTGGGTGCTGGTGATTCAGTGAAGTCAGAAACAAGTGCAGTGACAGTAAGGTGGAGAGAAATGATTGGTCAGTCGGGGGGGGGGTGGGGAATGCTGGTGTTTAGGATATTAAAGGTGATGTGTGTTTGTGTCTAGTGAATAGTTACTTATATTGTTTGTACCCAGAATGGAAGTAAAGATCATCTTTGTGGAAATCAAAATGATCTTTTTAATGCAGGAAGATAGTTTGGGATCATTGTGAGGGAGGAGTCAAAGACCTGGTGAGTAAAGAGTGACCAGGAGGTCAGCAGATGATAGCAGAAAGGGGCCTATAAAGTGTGGCATGGGAAAGAGAACAAACTTCAAAGGAGAATAGGCACTTACCAAAAAAGAAGAGGTAATTAAAAGCTCAGAGAATGCCAAGCATCCCCTTTGGTCCCTGCAGTTTGGAATGTGGGCAAATGAAAAGAGGCAGTCATTTGATTATATCATCTGTCAACATATTGAGTTCAACTCACCTTTGAAACCAGCATGGATGCTCAAAGTACATGCCTCAAGGTGTGCAAAAGAGACTGTGCCACAGACATGTCAGGTGTGGTTGGAATCCGCGTTGTCAAGTTTCTCACTGCTTGACTTCTGTCAAACCTACCTGCTGTTTTTTCCCCCCATTCTTTTTAATACCTATTTATCAAAAACCAAATTGCTGCATGTACTAAGCTCTAGGCTAACTCCAGAGGGAAAAAGGAATAAGGGACACAAAAGTACAAAGGGGAAAATGTGTACAATATGAGCCCCTGGCCAGAAGAAACTCATACTCTAGTGTGAAAGGCAGATTTTAAAAGAATCTTAGCATGTTTCATTATATGCACTGAATCTTACAGGAGATAAAAAGACTGCCCAATTAGCCCTAACATGGGGAGAGTCCTGAGAGCTGTTAGGGTAGGATTCACCTAGTTTGATACCTAGGAAATGAGTATTAGAGGGAATTAAGTAGTTGGAGAAAGATAAATAGACATCAAAGAATGCTTCCATATCAATCTCATATGCACACGTAAAGCAATCAGTCAGAGAGAGAAGCAAAATAAAACAGAGAGAGAGAGAGAGAGAGAGAGAGAGAGAGAGAGAGAGAGAGAGAGAGAGAGAGAGAAAGCAAATTTGAGACCTGGAGCTGGGAGAGGTTAGAAAAGGCCAGATTCTTGCTGATTATTGAGAGATCGTCAAAAGTTTGTCCTGCATTTTTGGATACAGCCTACTCATTCTTCATGTTTCTTCTAGGTTCTCCTTTTGGGACTTCGCAGTCTAATTCAGACTAAATTTTGATTCATTAACCACTTTTAACTTCAAATCTCACTCTTCATTGATTGTTCATTTTGGCCAGACCCCTCTCATCCTCTCACCCCTAATCTCTCTAGTAATTATCTGGCAGGGGGAGGGCATGGGGGGTGGGGGTCAGGAGGTGTGTGGAGAATAGCCTTCTCTCATATGTCCTTACAAAGAACAAACCGGCATTTCACATAGTTCATAAGAGTATCCAATGTCTCTTTAAAGAAAGTACTACCTCCCATAAGTTTTATACATATAAAATAATGCTTAAAAACACAAATAATTAAAGATTTACCAATTAATAATGGAAAACTCAGGCACTGTTAGGAAATGCTTTTTAACAGTTGCTCAATAGTATCAAACTCTCATTATCCTAATAGTTAAACTTAATACTATTCTGTGATGGGGGAAGGCAATTTTATAAGATTCTTTTATGATTAATTATAAGCAAAAGGCAGTGAATAGGCTGTCCTATTTGTTTTCAAGGGAAAAAAAGTGATAAGACACTAAAATTTCTGGAGAATCATTGATTGGCTGCTTTCTGCATGCCCCACACTGGGGATCAAGCCAGAGTCAGGTCATGTGCCCTGACCGGGAACTGAACGTGACCTCCTGGTTCATAGGTGGACTCTCAACCACTGAGCCATGACGGCCAGGCTGATTTGTCACTTTTAATTTTATGTTTGATTTTTCCTTCATGGAGGTTATAATATCACATTTAACAACTTATATCAACACTAGATATCTCTTGGTGTTACATTTTTTAAATATTTTCTAATTTATTTGAAACATAGATGCCTTCAGTAGTTAATAGTAGGGATAGCAATTCTGGCAAGAGTTAACTGTTAAGACTGCAATAGCTTTTACCAAACATTTCTATAATTCCTGTTTCAATCTACATAGGAGGAAGATAATAATATTATTACTTTAGAAAAAGAAAGCTTTAATGTAAACACGCATTCACAAAGCCAATAGTTCAAGGTATGTCATGATAATGAGTTGCAATGCGCGTGTATACCTCTATAATTTTGTATAGATTCTTGGTCAATGTAATGTTTATGAATGGTGCTATTTCCTATCATTTTTTAAAAACACTGAATCCCCGTAGACACAAATGTTCACACAGATGGCTATTTTCTTTTTTTATACTTATGACACTCATCTTATAGGTAAGATCGAGTTGATATTTCTTCATCTGAATAACCAGAGTGCAAAAACTTGACATATTCAGAAAATGTATTATTCAGTTTGCCCTTCCAATCTTAAGCCCTCAGCTCTTTACCTCCTCAGAAAGAAATAAGGGCCAGTGATTTTCTGAGGTCTGGCACTAACAGCCTTGCCTCTGTCGAAACTTCTCTTTTTTATTTTATCTTCTCTTTCACACCTAAATAAGCTGAAAAGGCAGTTGAAGCATACAATCAGATAAGACTTCATCCTCACTGGCAAAATTGCTGGGGAAATGAAAAAAGAAACCTTCTGCTTAATAAATAACCCAGCAAACCAGCCATCTACTATACCAATGGAGGCAGCTGAGCTGATGATTTTCTCCATATTCTTGATGGTTGGCGTCAGTGAGTCTAATGATTACTGTGTAATGCCTTTGCAGATTTCAAACCTTTACATCTATGACACGGTGCTTCTGCTTGCTAATGCTTTCCATAAGAAGCTGGAGGACCGGAAGTGGCACAGCATGGCGAGCCTGTCATGCATCAGGAAGAACTCCAAGCCCTGGCAGGGGGGGCGGTCCATGCTGGAAACCATCAAGAAGGTAACTTTGAATAGCATTTCACTCCTGACTTTCCATAAAAAGGGTACAATAGATCGTATTTTGAAGAGATATCTTTTAGAAGGATCCCCGCCCACCAATATTGCCCCCCAATATTGCTGCCAGTTCAAAGCATAAAGCAGTGTATTGGAGAAATGAAATATTAAAAATAAAAGGGCAGAAATTTACACACATATACAAAACAGGGGGCCTTTATTTATTTGCAAGGGCATTTTACTTAGGTAAAAAGTTAGTGGTTGAAATATTTTAAACTGCTTTGGTAGTATTATTAGAGTTAGAGGTGCTTAAATTGGTTTGGTGCCTGTCACAAAATACAAAAAGCTTTTTTCTTTAAACTGATTTTAAAAAAAAGAGCTATAGAGTTAGCTGTTTCTACCATTTAGCTGATACATGGTGAGGCATTGGATGGTCTTTATGTTATAATGAGGGTGTAATTCATAAACGGTTAATATTATGCAGCATCTGTGAACTACGTGATACTCGATGGCATTCTTCTTATTCACTGTCAGTGAGGTGTTTAGCCTGGCTGTGACCTGTTTCACCTTAGCTACCTGTTCCCTTCCAGGAAGGCGGTTTATCCTGTTCAGCTTCTCTCAGTGGTATAAGCATTCTGCAGTTTATTAGCCTCTTTGTCATGTCATCCTTGCTGGCATTTTCCATTTGTCTCGCACAGCTTCTTGGATTTAAAATGAAATGATTAATAAAACAAACAAATTTCTCCTGTACCCTTTACACAAAGGAGACAGACATTTGAATGTTTATGTTCTTTATTTTACCAATCCTTTTTCTTTTGGCATATGTTTGCCTTTCTCTCCTGAAGCAAAAAGAGAAATAGCTAGTCAAATGAAACATGAATGCATTTAGAAAATCCAAAGAAAAGTCTCAAAATTTAGCATTAGAAGTGAACTAAAAGTACAAAAACCAAGAAATGGAAGAAATGTTTCAAACAAATAGCCTATATCTTTCTCTTAGTAGTGCTTCCTTTTATAAAATGTATTTATTTTTTATTTTTATTTTTAAAATTTTTTATTGAGTTGAGAGAGAGAGGAGGGAGGAAGGGATAAAGAGGGAGAAATATCGATGTGAGAGTGAAACACCTATCGGCTGCCTTCTGCACACCCCCTACAGGCATGTGTCCTGACCGGGAATTGAACCAGTGATCTCTTGGGTTCATGGATCGATGCTCAACCATTGAGCCACACCAGCCAGGCATGTACTGCTTCCTTTTTGCAAAAGAATCCCTTTCATGGGAATTTGGGTTCTTATCAAAAGAAGTATTTTAAAATTAAATGTATTGAATATATTAGCAAATAAATATTTTCCAGTTGGAAATAGGTAAGTCAAATTTAAACTCAAGGTGTATGCTCTATCTATGTGGCGAATAGACAGGTATGGATCCAAGAGAGGTTATTGAACATGATTGTGAACCTACTAATTTATTAATTCGTACTTTGGCTGAAATGCAGAGCTTGAATATATTCATTTTCCTGAAGCTGTCTCATAAAGAGAGAATAATGGTGCAGGGTGTTGCTTAGGCGACGCTTATGTAGTGAGAATATCAGCAGGGGGGAAGCAAAGGCACCGCTAAATGTAGCTTTCTCTCCTGGAGCAATTCAATATGTAAACTGTTGCTGTTACAAAATTTATAATCAAAACAATGATATAATATAATAACTATGAAACTCCATTTTGGAGGAATATTTGCATATTTGTCCCTATAAGCTCTTAGTGACACTTTTTAAAGCAATATATCTATTCTATGTATTTAGAAATTAAGTTTAAATTATATACATGATTGCAATTTTCAATTTCTTATTTTTTGTTTCATGTTTTAAGATAACCTTAAAATTTTTACCCCCCCCCCCCCTCGTCACACTGCTTTCCTTCCTATGGGTATTTCGGTTATCTCATTCAGATACCGAGGCTGATAATACTCCACACAAAGAGAATTTGAGAGAAAACGTTCCACTCACACAGGAACTCCTGGAGAGAGCAGAGTGCACCTCAGCAGGTTCAGTCTGGCTTGGGCCAAGCAGAGGGAATGGGCTGGGCCTTTGTAGTGATTAGGGGTTGGAGCTGGAAACAGTTCCCATTTACTTGGTCTGGAGATTTGTGTGGCTTAAAATTCCCATGGGTGTCAAAGAAGGAGGTACAGGATGACCAGATATATATATATATTGATTTCAGAGCAGAAGGGAGAGGAAAGAGACATAGAAATATCAGTGATGAGAGAGAATCATCATTGATTGGCTGCCTCCTTCACACCCCACTGGGGATGGAGCCTGCCTGCCATGTGGACATGTGCCCTGACTGGGAATCAAACCATCGTGACCTCCTGGTTTATAGGTCTACTCTCAACCATGAAGCCATGCTAGCCAGGCAGTATGGACTTTTTTTAAAAAATTCTTTATTGTTAAAGGTATTTACATGAGTCTCCTTTTTCCCCCCCATTGACCTCTCTCCCACCACCCTCTCCCCCAAGCACAAACCCTCACCACCACCCACCCCCGCCACTGTCTGTGTCCATTGGTTTTGCTCATATGCATGCATACAAGTCCTTTGGTTGATCTCTTACCCCCTCACCCCCAACCTTCCCTCATAGGTTGGATGGTCTGTTCAATGCTTCTATGTCTCTGGTTCTATTTTTGTTCATCAGTTTATGTTCATTATATTCCACAAATGAGTGGGATCATGTGATATTTATCTTTCTCTGACTGGCTTATTTTGCTTAGCATAATGCTCTCTAGTTAGGATGGACCTTTTTAATCAGCCTGCCCACAAGTGGAGCCAAAGGGGAAAGGGAGGGCAAAGCTTAAAGAGAAGTCAGCACCAAACATCACAAATGTGGTCAGGCTCTTTACTGCAATGGGAATATTCTAGTGATAAAATTCTTAATTACATTCAAGTAACCACTGAATGCCTACCTTAGGGCATGCCCTATACACTGTACAAAGCCTGTGTTCTGCTGCAAGGAGATAAAGAAGCTAAAGAACAAATCTGTCCTTGAATTACTTATATTCTAATTAGGAAGGTGAGGCAAAAGACTTAAAAAGCACTGCAGTTGACATAAACACTATAAATGTCCAACAAAGGGGGAGGTGGTGAAACTTTATAATTTTTTTTGTGTGTGTTGAAACTTTATAATTTATCTTTTGAATTGATAGAATAGATGCTTCCACATTTCTCTTCTTTCTTTCAAAAATTAGAGGCTAATCTAATTCTTAAGTGTGTATTTCTTCCAGATAGCATCAGAACTCCCCAAGCCATTGCTATTTATATGGATTTCATAGAATATTTTTGAGAGAATTAATAATTTTTAAAACATTGAATATCCCCATCCATGAACATAGTATATATCTATATAGTCATCTTTATAGCCCTCAGTAAAGATTTATAGTTTCTTTATACATATTTCATTGTATTTACTCATATACTTTTATAGAGTTTTGTGTATATTTTTCAGTGTGTGAGCATGTGTGTGTGCACACTGTCATGAATTATTTTATTGTATCATATTTTTAATTAGTGATTATAGGTACATAAGGAAGTTATTGATGTTTGATATATTTTTTGAATGACCTCATTAATTCTGGAACTTAAGTCTTGATATTCTTTCTTTGTAGTTTATTCTCTTGCATTTTTCATATAGATATTGATATATCAAAATTATCACTTAATTATACTTTATATTGTTGTAAAACTTTAAAAAACTTCTCTTGGGACATCTTGGAACACTTCCGACCAGGTATATACTCTAGAGCAGCCGTGGGCAAACTACGGCCCTCGGGCCGGATCCGGCCCGTTTGAAATGAATAAAACTAAAAAAAAAAAAAGACCGTACCCTTTTATGTAATGATGTTTACTTTGAATTTATATTAGTTCACACAAACACTCCATCCATGCTTTTGTTCCGGTCCTCCGGTCCAGTTTAAGAACCCATAGTAGCCCTCGAGTCAAAAAGTTTGCCCACCCCTGCTCTAGAGCCCTGTGTGCTTTGAAGGCGATCACCTTTCCTCCCTCCAAGGGAGGATGTCAGACAATCTGCACATCAGAGACACAGAGGTGCGGACTCTCCCTCCACAGGAGAGCTTCAGCTGGTGCTGACCTGGCCTGGAGCTGACCTGCAAATCCTGCCACACAGGACACACTACTTTATAGCTCTCCTCTAGTGCATTCTTTCCTATTTCTCCTGAATTTGATGTTAGTTCACCACTGACATGTGGTATTCCTAGCTCTTGGTAGAGGGCACCCCACGCAGCAGTATTAGGGACACACCCTTCAGGCCAAGGCCTCACCTGGCTGGGGTCTGCAGATGGATTTTCAGTGGGGGCCAGCAAAGCCACAAAACTTGATTTGTAGAACAGGTATAAATATGTCAACATGCAAAGAAAATTTTCAGAAATTTCTTCATCTTTTTATTGACCCTCTGGCTAAAGGAGAAGAATGTGTTTCCATAGATGATGTTAAGCCTCTGTACATGTAGCTACTTGAGAATTTTAATATTATTGAGGATCTATTTTTAAATGTAGGCTATGAACACATAAAGTCATTTAATAGAAATCTCTACAGACAGTTCATCTGCTACCCACAGGAAGTTACCCCAAATTTTAAAAATCCTGTCAATGAGATCTTCTTTGATCGTGAATCTGACCGAGTCTTAGATCTGATTCAAGTAAGACCATTCAATGTGTTGAAGACTAAGAATATAAGAAACCTGAATCCAGAAGACATTGACCAGCTCATCACCATCAGTGGCATGGTGATCAGGATGTCTCAGCTGATTTCAGAGAGGCAAGGAGCCTTCTTCTAGTGCTAGGTGTGCACCCACACTGCCCTGGAAGAAATGGACCGTGGCTGAATCGCTGAATCCTGCCTGTGTGAATGCTGCTGCACCACCTACAACATGGCACTGGCCTACAGCTGCTTCGTGTTCCCCGTTAAGCAAAAACTCAAACTTCGAGTCTCCTGAAAATGTGCCTGCA